TTATACAACGCTTTGTTTTCGAGATATTCAGGTGTTCCGGTATATAATAATCACCCTGTATGTAGGAATACTGAGTTTAAAAAAATCGGAGGTGAGTACTTTTTGGGTACTTTATCCCAATATCTGATTTAAGACATTTAAGATATTCTTACTTACAAGTTAGTATGATTTGTTAGTATAATATGTGTTACTATTTTAGCAGTGTTATTATTCTTAGTTTCTGCCTTATGATAAATATGGTAAACTGAAATATGGTAAACAATACATATATATGTTTATGTTACGATTAGTTGTATACGTATGCACACACACACACATGCACTGCTCGCCCGCTTGCACGCTTGCCCGCCCGGGAGGGCTCGCAGTATGTGCGTGTATTCCTATTATATTTGAAGTTTTATAAATATACATTTTTTCCCACACTTTTGTAAATAATTCTCACTGTTTAGCTTAAGTATTGGGTTGGCAAATAAGTCCATGCGGTTTTTTACTTATAAATGATCGATGATTATTTTTATAGAAGGTAATAACTTTAATCAATTATGTATTGGCCGTTCGGCCATTATTCACAAAAGTGTGGGAAAAAATGTATATTTATAAAACTTCAAATATAATAGGAATACACGCACATACTGCGAGCCCTCCCGGGCGGGCGGGCAAGCGTGCAAGCGGGCGAGCAGTGCATGTGTGTGTGTGCGTACGTATGCAACTAAACGTAACATAAACATATATATGTACTGTTTACCATATTTCAGTTTACCATATTTATCATAAGGCAGAAACTAAGAATAATAACACTGCTAAAATAGTAACACATATTATACTTATTTACTATCTTTTTCCATCTTTCGAGCAGCTTCATAATTCTTCGTTCAAAGAACTTCCTCTCTTTCTCGGCAAAAAACTGTTCCAAATGTCGTTTGATAGCTTCCTCATAAACCAAGTGCTTTCCGTTCAAGGAATTCTGAAGGGAGCGAAACAGATGGTAATTTGAAGATGCAATGTCTGGAGAATACAGAGGATGTAGTAAGACATCCCAACCTAGCGCCAATAATTTTTTCTGGGTTTATAGAGATGTGTGCGGCCTAGCGTTGTCATGGTGAAAGACAATGCCTCTACGATTCACCAATTCTGGACGCTTCTCGTAGATCGCTGCATTCAATTTATCCAGTTGACAATACACACCTGAACTGATCGTTTTGTTCTTCGCGAAAGGAGCTCGTAGAATATCCTTCCAATCCCACCAAATTGAGAGCATGATCTTGCTCGGGTAAAGCCCTGCCTTCAAAGTGGTTTGTGGCGGTTCGCTACGCTGCTCCCACGATCTTTTGTTCTTGATGTTATTGTAGACGATCCATTTTTCATCGCCAGTTACCATACGCTTCAGAAATGGATCGCTTTTTTCATGTTTTCCGAATGAATCGCTGATGGAAATGCATTGGATTAAATGAGCTTCGCTCAGTTCGCGCGGAACCCAAACATCAAGACGGCTAACATAACTAAGTTGATGCAGATAGTTTTCCACGCTCGATTTCAATATTTGGAAAACGTCTGCAATCTCCCGCCTCATGTAGTGTGGATTGGTATCGATTATCGCCTTCAATTTGTCGCTGTCGACCTCATTTGGTCAGCTTAAGCATGGTTTGTCTTTGACGGAAAAATCTTTTCAACGAAATCTTGCAAACCACTTTTGGCATACGCGTTCTTTCACGGCATCCTCACCATATATTGCACAAATATTTTTACAAGTTTGCGTCACGTTTTTGCCTTTTTTAAAATAAAAAAGCATAATATGTCGAAAATGCTCGTTCTGGATATCTATTTTCAGATGACGCAAAACACGCAAGATACAAAAGCAATATTTACGTATATATTTTAAATACACGTTGAAATATTATCTGTCAATAACCATACGCTTTAAAGACTTTCGACTGAATATAAAGCTTAACAGAACGCCTTGAAGCCATCCGTCGAGAAAAACCGCACGGACTTATGGGCCAACCATATATAACAGACTTTGCCCCTCCCCACGCCGCGATGCGGGAGGTCTGGGGAGTGTAGCCCCCCAGTTACATGGCTATACCACAGATGTCTATACTAAACTAGATTGCTAACAGGCTATCTAAAAGCATATAACGGCTTGTGTCCGATAGAGTTTCCAGTGCAAGAAAATGGCCGCTATCGCCACATATTTTCACTACGTTTAGTCATAAAATTCTTTTGTTGAAAATGAGCAGAGCAAATAACGTCCAATACCATCTATTTTTTTGTTACGATATTTTTTGATTCAATAAGATGCTACCATTTATGATTTTACGACAGTAATTGGTTTTACGACAGTAATTTAATGGTCACGCTGACTCACATTGTACGTTGTAAGTACTCACATAAGTGATACATCCACATAAGTCACACACCAACGTCACACACACAGAACCGCCGCCATTTTCTCGCATGCAACCGGAAACCTTACGCGACACACGTTCGAAGCCTTTGTTAGCAATTTAGTTTAGTATAGACATATGTGGGCTACACAGATAGCACAGGTGAACAGAAGTTCCTAGAGAATTTATTTAAGAATACATATTTATATAAGAATATATGTAGAACTAGAAAAATGATTACTTGAAGAATTCTTGAAGAATTCATCACAATAAGTTCGTCTTGAAGTATTCCTTAGGAGTTTATTATAGCGAATTCTTCGCGACTTAATTCCTAGAACACTTTGAGAGTTCGTGAGAAATTACAAATGTTTTGTTTGTAGCAACTACTTTTTACGTCTACATTCAGTATATGCCAGTGAGTGTATAATAATTGAGTTACATATTTACATATAAATTGTTTAATTTATTATTTACAGTTATTTATATTTAGTGGAATTAATTAAATAGTTTTATATAATAGGGCAAAGAAAGAGAATTATTATTAAAATAGCTTTTCATGTATAAAATGTTGACTTATATCAATAATAAATAGATTTATGCGAAGTATATTTTATCTTTAAGATTATATTCATGTTTCTAAAATCCATATACAGTTCTAACAAACCCAATCGCATTATTTAAAAACCGTTTATTCTTAATGTAAAATTATATATTTAAAAGTGCGCTTTACTTACATTTAAATAAAACAATATATATCTAGCGAAAAATTGTTGAATGATGTCAAAATGATATCAAATCGACGTTGAAATTATCAAATCGGCCTTAATTTGATATCATTTTGGCTGCGTTCGGGGAGACGCTATTTAGCACTATGAATGTGCTCTGTACTTGTTTCATCCTAAAAGTTGAACAAGGACAAGAATGTTCATAGTTCATCTCATTAAAGGACTAAATAGTGTCTCCCCGAACGCAACTTTTGACGTCAATCAACGAATCATTTTTCACTGGGTATGCATATGTCACAAACATGAAGCCTAAATAAATCAGTGGAAAGAGCATGATAAGCGGAAGACCCGAGTTTGATCCCAGCCGAGTCTGATGTTTTTCATCTCATATGGCAATTTTCATCTCATATTAAAAATGAACATTTATAGATACACAAGCACCCCTGGCTAAAGTGATCTTCTGATCTTTCTTTCGTGTGTATGCAATAAAATTTATTAAATTTGAAGAAATTTTTTGCAATAAAATTTATTAAATTCGAAGAAATTTTTTCGAGAAGAAGTAATTCTATATGAATATTCTAAGAAGTTCTGAGAAACTTCAATCATGGTGCATGTAACTTCCTAAATCATTCTTATAGTATTCTTCCACGAATTCCTAAAGAAGTACAATTCAGAAAAGGAGAAAACTTTAGGAACACTTAAAGAATTCATCGTGCTATCTGGGTAGGGACAGGCACCTTTTTTATTTTAATATAAACACGAATATATGGCTATATTGCTTTTTGTTGATAAACTGAAATTCCTTTTTCTGTTTCTTTTTTGTTTAATATTTTGATATCTATTGTTTGGAGAATTTTTTTACTATTTTTCTCATGTTTCTCGCTAAAAATGCTTTTGAAAATCACTTTCATTTTAACGGGCCAAAGTTATCGTAAACATCCCTGCAATTCAGCCGCCATTCGTAAACAGGGAGTGTGAGTCGAGCTTCGACCGTTGCTCCGAGACACACCGTTCCAGACGACGACGTGTCGGGCTTCGGCCGTCGTTCGTGAGCAGGAAAAGCGAGTCGGGATTTGACCGTTCCTCCAGGACACCCCATTCCTACCGACGACGCGTCAAAGATTCCACCCGTCGTTCGACGTGTCCTAATAACACCAATGCAACGAGAAATAACCGTCGCACATCACGACAAGGATACCAAGACAACGGCCTTCGGAGATATTCCGCGTACACCCCTTTATATACCCCCCTCGTATACTCTCGTGTACTCTAAATATTCTATACATATTAGCATAGAAATAAACGAAGTGATATCAGGAATCACTGCAATATTCTCAAGCACCTCTACTCCTTTCTCTCGAGAAGGAACCTAGATGCCGGTGAGCTGATCCAGGTCCGACACAAAATCGACATCGTGACAAAAGTTTCATTGTAATCTAAATTTTCGGTTTGACGAGGTTCCCTACTAAGTGGTCTTGTTTTCATGAATTGGATTGACTAAATGATCTTACCTTAAATGGCTGGATCAACCTTTCATTTTGCTTTCATTATCTGGATAGACTAACTCAGTAAACATTGTTATATAAATATTATATAACTATAATGTAACTAAATGTTACATTATAGTTATATAATATTTATATAACAATGTTTACTGAGTAACTAAATGTTACAAGTAATATTACAAAAATGTTACCGGTAACATACTGGTTTATTATAATTTCTCACTCAAAAACATAACATGTAATATAACATTGTTATGTTAACGTTATATATGTTAGAAAACGTTTTGTTATAATATTGGAAAGATAGGTATATAATATAGTATTAATATGAGAAACAATAATGAAATAAAAAAATAATAAAATGCAAAAATTTATTGTAATTTATTATATACCTTATGAGTGTATTTCCACAGAACAAAATGTAACTTTCTTTAATATTAATTTTCTTTAATCCAATATGCAAAACATAATATATATGAAAAAAACAATATTTTTATGTTATATATAGCAAAAATAAATGTAGTTATCCAGTAATTATATTTATTCTTAGCAGAAAAATATTACTGTAACTAATGTAACCAATAATAAATTACTGTTGTTCGTACGAATAATAAAATTACTGAGAGAATTACTTAACAATAATTTAATATAGCCATTAATATTTTTATGCAAAAGATGTACTTCTCATTTTTCTACGTTTTTCTATTGATTACAATATCTATAATATTATCAGTCTCATTACAACATACTATAATATCATCGGTTTTTCTTTGTGTTCAATAATATTATAATTTAAATTAAATCATCAAATATTAAAAAGCAAAATTATTAATTGAGAAACCTGCTTCACTGTTGTACAAATTTATAACTGTACTGTTATCATAGTGTTATTTGCAGTTATCACAGTTTTGTTTTATTTATTTTTACTTTTTCTGTCTCTCTATAGATAGAATTATTGCCTTGAATTTTTTTTTAATTCCCAATTGTATCGTTGTTTCCCAAAACGGAATAATTCTGCAGCGATATCATCAAGCTCCCTTTTGGTCAAAGTCGCATGCAACTCTAAAATTACTTCTAAAGTAAAAAAAATAATTTATTATTTTAATGTTTTTATAAAATTGAACTGTCAAATGTTTATTAAAATATGTAATAAACAATTCCTTTATATATATATATATATATATATATATATATATATATATATATATATAATAAAAACGTTATTATTATTTTCATATTATTTTATACAAGGTGTCCGAAATCTTTCTTGACACAATTCGTTAGAAGTAGAACGGATTAAACGGAACAGAAAAGTTAAATATTATATTATTTTGTGAAATTCGCAATAGTTTTCGAGTAATTAATTATTTTGTTTTAGCAAATTAGCGCTTAGGCCGGCGCGCGATCGTGATACACGCCGCTCGCTGCGTCCCTCCGCCCATAGCTACGCTGTATCTCGTAACTATGGCTACGAGACACATCGTAACTATGGGTGGAGGGACGTAACGAGTCGCGATTCGCGTGTATCATGATCGCGCACCGCTATTTGCGCGTATCAGTCGCGCGCCGGCTTATTTGCTCAAACAAAATAATTAATTCCTTGAAAATTATTGCGAATTTCGCAAAATGATATTTGACTTTTCTGTTCCGTTTAATTCGTTCTACGTTCCTACGACTTGTGTCAAGAAAGGTTTCGGACACCCTGTATATGCTATTAGTTATATTTGTATACATACAAATGTGTATGTGTATAATATAAGGTAACATAAAAATACAGTATATTTATTAATATAATATATTCTATTCATATTTTTTATATAGCATTAGGTCAAGAAAAAAAATTATTAAAACATTATTTCAATATATTGTAACATATACTTACATAGCGCAAATGCCTAAGATATATCTTAGAAATATCTTGAAAATATTTAAAACAAAATATGTTTTAAGCGTCAGAAAAATGTTTTTCAGACATTTATGTCGTATGTATATATATCACACATTTTCAAAAAATATTTTATAACAATTATATAATGTGTATAAAAACATATTACATATCGTTCAAGTTACAATGTTACATTACAGTAACATTTGGTACATCAACAATATAACATTATACATTGTTATACATATAATATGTTACAGTTATATATTTATGTTCTATTGATTTCCGTTGTCAAAAGTAGGTCGTGATATTTGAAAAAACTTTACCTCCAAATAACCTTCAAAATTATACTTTACGATACGTTCAAGGTCACCTTCAAATAATACAAGGAGATGATGCCAACTACAAAATCGATTTTGGAACGAGGCATAGCGTGTTCGATAGATGTTCGATAAGCATAATATAAAATATGAAAACCCTAAAAGGGTTTGTGTGAATGAGTTTTCGTTTCCGAAATATTACGATATAAAATGAGAGTTACGGAGCCGTGACGCATATAAAGCTTAACATAGCGCTCATTTTTACCGAAACGGCGTAGCTGAGCGGACTGAGGCTCTCGTGTCGGTGCTTTTTGCGCCGGTGTCGAGTTTTTTAGTCCAGCCGACGAGACGATCGCGGGCAATATTTCTTTTTTTTCGTACTGTCGGACATATATGTATACTTGTAGTATATATATTTTGTATTTCTGTGTCGATGTAATTATTATGTGAGCAATTAGGGCAGTGTCACGTTGCGGTAATGAGAAATAATGTGAAAACATACTGTTTACAATTAGGAAAATAGCATATATTGTAAATACATGATATACAGTTTATAAATGTCACAAGTTTAAATAAGTATTTTATGTGCAATGTCTAACAATTATAAAATTCAACCATTGTGTCGCACTGTTGCGGATGGAATTCGGTATAAAAGCAGTGGAAACACAACACTTTGATGGACCACGAAAATTTAATGAATGCATTGTGTTGTCCACAAACGCATTTCATATTATGGATATCCTGTGGGAAACAGTTGATTTTCGTTGTAAAATATATATCGCGTAGTTGCTCAAACATAAATTTGAAACCGGATGCTGATAATAAATAATGTGTCAATGATTGTATGCGAATCGCATCAGCTTTAGTGTTCAATTGTATACTAGTATCGCTTATAAGTAAGTCGGGACAGTTTTGAATTTTTTTGATAATTATTTTTACTTGCCTAAATACTTGTCTAAAAATAGACGTCACAAGACTGACATATTGGTGTACATTTTGACGGAATAATCTGTAGGTTACACGTTGGTTTATTATTATTGTCGCGAAATATTTCGTTATATATGTGAATGTTTTTTTGCCCGCCCCAGGAATAAACAATAAATAAAAATGACTGATTGCTAACATACAGCATGATAACAGAAAGTAAATATTTTTCATATAACAATGTCGTTAATTTTCCAGATTTTGAACATACGACAACAACATTTCTACATATTTTTAGCAGATCACCCACATATTTCTGCACACGCACTCCAAAAATGTCTGCGAATTCTTGCAAACATACGAATACTTTTGGTAATAATTTACCGGTAATAACTTGCAAACACAAGAATATTTTTGGTAATAGCTTACCGATTTTGTAACAGAATATTTCAAATATTATATTTCAAATATAAAAACATATATATTTATCGTAATTTCCGACGATGTAACTTATATAACGCGTTATATAACAGTAACCGTTATACACGTCGTGCCTGCGAAACGTGAGCGTGAGACGAAACGTATTCAACATGGAAAAAATGGTTATCAGTGACTGTACAATTAACTATGTACAAATCCTCGCACAATGCGATATTTCGAAAGAAGATCTAACGGATGCAATAGAATATTTTCGAGGTAAATATGTATTGTATATGTTACTAATGGAAGTAAACATGTAAACATCTGTCACTGATACACGTGGAATTCAAATATTCAATGCTGTTTGCAGATGTGTTACAACGATTTGATCTTATATCTGTCGAAGCGCCAAAGAAATTTTCCTATATTGTTAAATTGGTGGGTGGCAAATTATTCCAAATGTTTATTAAACTGTTAAGAAAACATGAAGTTGCGGAGGAAATAGAATACGATATAGCAGAAGGCGGAAAACGTTGCTGCAGAAAATATGGCGTCTACCAGTCAGAGTACAACGGACGAAGACTATAAATCGCCAGAAAAAGTTGCTGTGTACGACGCTATGCCTTTTGATACAAAATTAAAGATCGTAGTGGCTGCGAAAGAACGTTCGCAGTGGAACTTCCGCACATTGCAACAATGATTCAGAAAGTATCAACATAGGCAGAGTGATGTTGCACGATTCCGGAAATATGTGTTGGCAGGCGGAAGGCATTCAAGGATAAAATAGAAATAATAAAAAGAAATATGTATGATCGGAAGCAAAAGAACACAAACAGCTAGTAACATGACGTCTGATGCAACAATGAGCCATGGCTGCAGCCGCGCAATTCCATGATACAGAAGGTAGCGAAGAGCATACAGATATTTTCCGATTTGTTGCATCGCATATGTGGATGACGGCATTTCTGCGCAAATATTGAATTTCGAACCGCAGAGTAGTCCGCTATGTGTCCAAAAAAGGGATGGTATTACCAGAAGCTATAATAGCGTCAGCATAACAATTTCAAACGATACTGCAAATATTTATATCTGATCACAATCCCGATTTTGTGATAAATACTGACCAAACAAGCTGCGATTATAGAGTCAATGTTGCGCGAACGTATACGCACATTGGCAAAAAATTGATAGAACTCTACTTCGGCGATTTAAATAAAGTTTCTCATTCTTATACAGCCCAGTTTTTTATTACAAAATCCGGTAAACTATTACCAAAAGTATTCGTGTGTTTGCAAGAATTCGCAGACAGTTTTGGAGTGCGTGTGCAGAAAGATGTGGATGATCTACTAAAAATATGCAGAAATGTTGTCGTATGTTCAAAATCTGGAAAATTATAGACGTTGTTATATGAACAATATTTGCATTCTGTTGTCAAGCCGTATGTTAGCAATCAGTCGTTTTTATTTATTGTTCATTCCTGGGGCGGGCAAAAAAACATTCACATGTAGAACAAAATATTTCGCGACAATAATAATAAACCGACGTGTAACTTACAGTTTATTCCGCCAAAATGTACACCAATATGTCAGTCTTGTGATGTCTAATTTTATAGGCAAGTAAAAATAATTATCAAAAAATTCAAAACTATCCCGACTTATAGGCGATACTAGTATACAATTGAACACTAGAGCTGATGCGATTCGCATACAACCATTGACAAATTATTTATTATCAGCACCCGGTTTCAAATTTATGTTGGAGTATGCGTAGTATGCGTCAAAATAAGCAGCTACGCGAGATATATTTTACAACTAATATTTATCAAGATATATTTTAAACCAACATCTGTTTCCCACAGGATATCCGTAATATGAAATGCGTTTGTGGACACAATGCATTCATTAAATTTTTGTGGTGCATCAAAGTGTTGTATTTTTACTACTTTTATACCGAATTTCATCCGCAACAGTGCGACACAATGGCCGAATTTTATAATTGTTAGACATTGTACATAAAATACTTATTTAAACTTGTGACATTTATAAACTATATATCATGTATTTACAATATATGCTATTTTCATAATTGTAAACAGTATGTTTTCACATTATTTCTCATTACCGCGACGTGACACTGCCCTAATTGCTCACATAACAATTACGTCGACACAAAAATACAAAATATATATACTATATATATATATATATATATATATATATATATATATATATATATATATATATGTCCGACAGTACGAAAAAAAAAATATTGCCCGCGATTGTCTCGTCGACTGGACTCGAACGCTCGCCGCCGGCGCAAAAAGCATCAGCGCGAGAGCCTCAGTCCGCTCACCTACGCCGCTTCGGTAAAAATGAGTGCTATGTTAAGCCTTATATGCGGCACGGCTCCGTGACTCTCACATTGCATCGCAATATTTCGGAAACGAAGACCCATTCACACAAACCCTTTTAGAGTTTTCATATTCTATATTATGCCTATTGAACGCGCTATGCCTCGTTCCGAAATCAATTTGCAGTTGGCGTCATCTCCTGTCAGTATATCCTATAATTTTCGTCTGAGTTACTTTTCTGTAAAACTTCCAAGTTATTTAGGGAGTTCCATATTTTTTATACACTTTGTATGTGATATACAGAGCGTGGTAAATTTCCACAACGGCAAATTATTTTAGAAAATATTAGTTTATTGAACAAATGTTTAAGACAAAAATAATAGGAGATAAAAAATATATCAGACGATAATATATATTTGATCTTGAAGTGACCTTGAGAAGCGTTGTTAAGGTCAACATAAATATTTTAAATGAAACCCTCCACTTTTCATAGCGTATTTGTAGCTAATGTTAAAATCTTTCCGAAATACTGGTTGCAAACTTTTTTTCACAAAACCTTTTCGAGTTATGGAACTTGAAAGTTACACTTACCGCCGGCATTAGCATTACCTAAGATATAACACGCGGAGGTTGCACGATCAGATTTACACCTCTTTGTGTGCGTGCGTATGTGTGTTGTCCGACCGTACAATTCATAATTTAATCTAACCTGACTGAAGTATTATTTTTGCCTTCACAAACAATAACAGTACAAAACTTCAAATTATGTTTCCTTAAAATGTCAAGTTACTCATAAATCATTGTTTGGAAACGACTCAATTTAAAGATTTGTGAAGTTATTTGTGAAGATAAAAATGATATTAAATTTAAAATTTAAGATTAACGGTTGCGAGTGCACATATAACATCTATGCACTTAACTATCGATATAACTTGTTTAGTAGAAGGGGTAATGATAGCCATATGACTGTTATTACTCCTTGAAGCTACTTTTCATTTACACACATAAAAAGATTCACTACCGTCCATAAGTATTTGCCCACTATGTAAATTTTAAACTATTGTAAAAGAAAAAAGATTAAGAAATTTTAAGTGGAAAATATTTATATTCACAAACGTAAAAAGTAATACACAACATGAAAAAACGAATGTTAAAAGTCTAATTAGAATTTAACCTAGTCTCTCAATGTGTCCGCCTTTGTTTTTAATGACAGTTTTACAAATTCTCTGCATCCTTTTTAATAGTTTGAGTAATGTTTCGATCGTCATTTTATTCCACGCGTCTTCGAGTATCCTCCGGAATATTTCTGTGAACATGGGGCACTGTTTTCGGACGCTTCGGTCGAGCTCGTTCCACAATAACTCGATCGGATTGAGGTCTGGGGATTGCAGTGGCCAATCCATTACTTCGAGTTTACTCTTTTCTTTTAACTTATTCAAATACTCTTTATTTATTTTTGAGGAATTTTTTTGGTCATTGTCATGTTGTGTTGGAAAATAAATTTTTTGCCTAAAATACGATACTCAGATGGCAACATTTGCTGTTGTAGAATTTCCAAGTACTGTTCTTTTTTCATTATTCCCTTAATTCTGCAAATTTCGCTCATCGACACTTTACCAATACACCCCCAGACCGTTACAAAGCCTTTTTTTTTTTTTTTTTTTTTTTTTTTTTT